CGGTTCAGAAGATGTCGGGGCACATACTCCAGTCCTGCTTGTCCTTGGCCTCCCAGTAGCCGCCCTTATAGACACAGATCAGCTCCCCCGTCATGGCATCCACCTTGCGCTCAAACCACAGCGGGATATAGCCTTCGTAGTCCTTGCCTGTCCGGGGAGAAACAGGGGTAAGGGCTCCTTTTCCCAGTGAGTCCCGCGCTTCTCCCAGCCACTCAAATTGATGCAGGATCCTTTCTTCATCCCCAAACCCAGTGGGGTTTCTTCGCCGCATCCCTCTCCTGCAGCGAGGGGCAGCCGGTCCCTGCCCGCCGGCATCCCAAAGCATCTCACCTTCCTCCAGGGCTTCCACGGCCTCGGCCTCTCGCCTCCGGCGCACGGCTCGCTGCTTCTCCTCCAGCCGCTGCTTCTCCACGTTGGCCTCGTCCCAGCGGCCGCTTTCCATCAGCCGCTGGTCGGGTCGCAGCCGGCTGTCCGTGGGGGCCACTCGCTCCTCGGGCTCATTCAGGGTGAGGGCCAGGTCAGAGAAGAAATACATGTTCTCGGCGTTCTCCCTGCAGCCGGAGAGCCCCGATTAGGACGGCAGAGGTGGCACCTACCTCGAGCAGAGCTCGCCAGCCCTTCACGTCCTTGCGTCTCACCCCAGCCCCACTGGTGCTGCTCCTGCTACCCCAGACCAGACGTGTACAGGTCCTTTGGGGAGCCCTGCCTCCCACCCTCTAAGTGAGGATGCCAACGACATCTCAATGGGTGTCTCAGAGGGGAACAGAGACCCTTCCTCCATTGGTTCCATCTGGGGAAGGTAAAAGCCAAGCCTATGAACTCCGAGCACTGTATTGGGCAGCCAAGACACAAAACGGCTTCACCCAAGAGCTGCTGGATCCCCGACTGCAGAACTGGTGGCACCAAGTGGAGGATACTTTCTACCAGGGACCATTCCGACGGAGCGGCTCCAAAGCAGGGACCGGCCATTGCTGCTACCAAAGGCTGGAGACTGGTTAGAGAGGAGCCCTGCTGTGGGTAAGAGTGTCGAGAAAGGGCTGGGCCCTGGAGGGCTAAAGCGACCAGTGGGACACGATGGCCAGGGACTCACCAGCAAGGCAAAGTAGCCAACATATCTCCCTGTCATGGCCAGCAGCCCAAAAAACCTAACCAGTACCCCCAGCTGCCCAAAACCTACCTGCAAAGGTTCCTCAAAGCCACCCTCCCCTGCTGTGTGCTCACGCTCCAGAAAAAGCCACACAGCCACCCCCATGTCCTCAGGTCTGGGCACATGAGCCCCCTCCATCCCGTGGGGCTCAGGGTGACACCGTTAATCCCCTTCCAGCTGTTGCACCCCCCGAGCACAGCACCCCGTGCCAAGGAGGGGACTCACGGGAGGGGGTACTTCTTCCACAGGACCTTTGGAGACAGCGTCTGGTAGACGGTTTTCTGCTTGCCCTCCGTGCTGGTGCTGCCATGGCTGCTCTGCACTATCTTGGAGCACTCCATCTTCTCGTCCCATGTGCCGGACACGACGTAGTGGGCTTTACCATCGGCGTCACTCACCACCCCCGTCACCTGGCAGAAGGAGATGGCTCTGGTGGCGTTGGGAAGCGCCCAGAGGACAGGGAGAGGCGCAGCGGGGCATAACACCCTCCAGGTGCCCCAGCTGCAGCAGCTGGACCTGGCGCTGCGTGTCCTCAGACATCAGCGGTGCCCAAGCACAGGGGAAGCGTGGGCTCATCCTGACCATGCACGCGGGTCTCCAGCCCATCAAATCCTTTTCCAGGTCTCAGTGCTCCAGCTCTGGCACACGGAGAGCCGAAACACAGGCTCTGCTTGGACACAGCTGGTCCCCCCCCAGCCCTCCCTGGTGACCCGCATCAGAGGTGCCAGCACAGCTCCTTGGCCCCGTGCTGGGGCTCATCCTGGCTGCAGCACTAGGACCCCATGAGCCCAGCTTAGAGGGAAGAGCCAGGTCTCACCCCGCGCAAGGCTGCCAGAAGGAGCAGGGAGACACCGGGATACGAACCTTTCGGGGGACGTCTCTGGAGAAGTAGCTGTAGGGGGTAAATTTCAGCTGGCATTTATCTTTTGACTTATGGTTAACAATCTCTATTTCACCAGACTAGATGAAAGACACAAAACCACAGCGAGTGAGAGACTTTGCAAGGAGACAAATCAGGCGTTAGTTGTAGTTCGTGCAGGTACAAATCAACACCAGCTGCAGTGTCACTTCTGGCTGCAGCCACCGCACTGGCCACCCCCGCTAGCCCCACGGCTCACCAGCAGCAGCGTAAAACCCATCACGTGCATGACCACCCTGCCCCACGGAGCTGCTGGCCTTGGGAAGAACCATTAGGAGCTCCAATAAGTCTCCCCCTATCCCTGCCAGGGAAGCACACCTTCCTATCACGGTAGGAAGACGGTGGGGACACCAGGCAGCGCTGGCACACACCCCAGGAAGGCAATATCCTTCCAGCCCCCCTGCCCTTCTCCGGAGCCAGGTGAGGCCAGGCAGGACCCATCACCTTGGACCTGTAGCCACTGACCTGGTCAATCCAGAGCTTGCCCACGATGATGTTGTGAACGGTGGACGTGACTTTCCTCCAGACATAGTGATTCCCGCTGGAATGAAACTCGAGGTGGATGGTGCCTGCGGAGAGAGGAGCAGCCCTGAGCTCAGTGAGGGCAGATGGCCAGGCAGAGCTGCAGGCACACTGCCCTGGAGCACGACGACACACCAGCACCATGCTCGTCCCTCTATCTGCTTCTCTGGATTCATCCCTCCCCTTGCTGCACGCTCCGTGGTCTGCTGCAGTTAAGGGAGCTGCAATACCTGCAAGGCCCTCTGCCCTCCTCCTGCACCCCCAAAAAGCACTAATTTTAAAAGTAGGTCAGAAAAGTGCTGCCTGGTTGACTCTTAGTGTCATGAAACCAGCCAGTCACCGGCACAGCTCTGGGACCAGCCCCAGGCATGCTGCCCAGCCCAAGGACAGGCAAAAGACAAATAAAACCTTGGAAGGAGGCAGCTTATTGCATCTGGCTGCTGGGGAGAGGGTTAAAACAGGCAGCAAGCTAACCTTTAAATATCATTTAAGGAGAAAGCAATTCATGGGTAAGCAGGATATTTCCAAAGCACATCCGTTATGGTGTCAGCAGAGAGCAAAGCAGTCTCCCTTTGCAGCTGGCATAATTTCCATTTCCAGGGCAGGCAAGTTATCATAGGGTTTTCTGTGATCGGGAGCACAAATCTGTGCTCCTACATTGCTTGGGGTGGAATTCACTGAGCCCTATGTGAGCCCAAGGGACTGGCACATTGCTTTAACCTCTGGGGTATTGCATGAGCAGTGCAGGAAAAAAGCAAGCCCCGATCCTCTTGGCACAAGTCACCTACCCAGTGGCATGATGGAGAGGTATTTGCCCCTGAACTTGCTGGCGATCGTGATTTCCTGCCACAACGTCCATCCTCGCTTGGAGAAGACGTGATGGGCAGCTGCCGGCGGGTGGTGGCTCACCTGGGGGAGAGGAGAAACAGCCCGTAAGGTCACAGCCGCCAGCACCAGAAAGGACTGGCGAGCACTCAGCCATCACAGTGTGACTCCTAGGAGAGGTGATAGCTCCACACCAGCTTTGGCCATGAGGATGCTCCACCGTGCTGACCTGAACCATCCAATCTTCTCCTGGGCACTGGGGTGACCTCCCGTGAGGTACCCTGGCAGCACGGGGAGGTGCACTGAGCTCCTGCCAGGATCTTCTAAGGCTCATTAGCAAAGCATCAGCTGTAAAAAACTTAACTTGAGTAACTATTGCTGTGAGATGATGCTGTATTGTGAGCCCAGGACACAGCCCCCACTCTCCAGGGATCCTGGTTGAGAAACAGGGATGTGGCAAAACCCAGCCCAGATCCCCAGTAATCTCAGCGTAACAGCACCTCTCCTACCAGTGGCGGCTCCCACTGCTCTGCCTGGGAACTCCTGGGAGACACAGGTCTCCAAGGTGTCCAAGACACATGGACCTGCCCAGCCAAGACTTCAGCTTTGCCCCTGCAGACACACCAGGCTGGAAAAGCAGATACGACATCCACCATTCCCGGGGATGACTTGTAAAAGGACGGTGCTCACGTTCCCCTGCACTGGAAAAGCTGTCCAAAACCAAGGTGGGAGCAGGACATCCCAGCCAGAGGGCTCTGCCCTCACATGGGGTCCCACCCAGCCGACCCGCGGAGCTCTGGCACAGCACATGCCACCCATCACCGGGAGCCTCCCAACACCAGGCCCCGACAGCCACGCCACCAAGTTCAGAGATTATTTGCACCGATGTAATTACAGGCTGAGCGCCCCAAGCTACTGGATTACAAACGTGAGCAGAGCAAAGACCTCTCCATTAAATCCCACTGTCACTGGCCAGGGAAAATCCTATTTGAATAACTGGATTTCAGGCACAAGATTATCAATGCTTTGCTAAGCACATCGGCAGGCTGAGCAGCACATGCAGCATCCAAGGAAAGTTCAGAGCAGTGGGAACAGCATCCGTCTGTCCATCCCATGCTGCCCGCACCAACCGCAGCACCACGGCAAGAAGCACTGCCAACGCTGTGCCAGTGCAAAGCTGTTGTCAAATGTGCCCTTTGAGATGGCTCCAGGAGGGAGATTTAGAGGCTCTGCTCATGGACTGAAGGCTCCAGAGTGCTGCAACGGAGCAGGTTTGCTCCGAGTTACAACAAACCTAATTTTGGATGAATCTCATGTGCCGTGCCAGCAAGGGAGGGACTCAAGGACCAGGCAGGAGGGTAGCACCCAGGGGTTCAGCCCAGTTTGAGGCTCAGTTAACGTGGAAGTGTCAGAAATATCAAATCTGGGTACAGATGTAGGAAAACCAGGACCAACCAGAAAAAGTAATTCAGGGCAGGTTATTTATTTGGGAGGGGGGAGGGATGGAGGAGGGAGCGTGGTGAAAAGGAGGGTGAAGGAATGAGGAAAGGGATGGCAAGGTGTGGGAGTGATGTGGCTGGGGATGTCCAGTGGTACCCAATCGACAGCGCTGGGCTTCATCACTGCAGCCCGAATGAGGGTAATAAACCCAACCTGTTGTTCTGACCGTACCCCGGGAGGATGAGGGGTAAGGGATGGATCAAGCATCCTGGTAAGGAATCATCTGCTTCCTGTAACACGGGGCTGAGCAGGGTAGGGTGACAGCCCAGGGAGACAGGGCACCAGGGAGGCGTTGGAGAACAGAGACCCCACATTTCTCTCTGCTGTGCATAAAGCCAGCTGGGGAATTTGGCTGTGCGACAGGACGGGGGAATCGCTGCCGGGTGAAGGTGTGATGATGCTGGGGTGATGGTGTGATGCTGTGATGAACCTGAGCTCTGCGATGCTCACAGCAAAGTGCCGGGGGATGCCTGGAGGGATGCTGCCGCCTCTGATCTGCCTCCCAGAAGCAGGAAAGGCACTGGGCAGAGCAGGAAGGGGAGGCACGTTCGCAGCTGTAGCTCATTACACTCATGGTTGCAGTGTCCTGGCTCGCTGCAGCCCAGGGCACAAGCTCCCAAGGCTGGGACAGACCACATGGGCATCACTGGGGACGATCAAAGAGACAGCAGAGGCACAAATCCTGGAGATTATCTACTACCTTTTCTTTTGTCACGGGCAAGGGGCCACATTTCCAGGAGACCCCACAGAGCCTGTTCAATACCACTGCCTGGAGCAGCTCAGTCGAGAGAGATGGGATGTGAGGGGAGGTGCCATCCTGCCTCGGGCCAGAGCTTTGCAAGAGTCTGCCGAGCTTGGGCACCCATTACCATGGAGGGGTTCTGTCCGCACCTACGTGTCCTGAGAGGAGCTGATGGCAGAGCATGGCACCTGCTAGAGGGGCTGCTCCAAACCTGGGTACGAAGGGTCGTGACTTGGAGAAGAGGAGGAGGAGGAACAGAGACAAGCTAAACCACGTCAGGAGAACACAGGGATGCTGGTGCAAGCCTGAGCCCCCTCACTGCATATCCCCAGTGCACCCCGTCCACATGTCCAATATCTGCTGTGAGCATCACGTATCACAGCACGGCATGCCCGGATTAGCAGCAAGACCCTTTTCCCAGGCAACTCCCCCCCAAAAGCCCACAGGGCTCGGGGGCACAGTCTGCTGAAAGGCTCTGCAGATCTTGGACCTGCATTAACCTCTGCAGAGTGACAGCAGTTTGTGATTTTGATTGATGCTTCTGAACACTGAAAGATGCGACAGTCGCTCTGCCCCTGAGACGGCACAGCCACCCCTTGGAGAATACAGAGCTCCCACCAACGTGATGTCCTGCCTGCAAGGGGCAATAATTGGCCCCATCCATCCCCAAGAATTCAGGATGGACCAGCCAAGTGTCCTAAATATTAAACAGTCAATTTTCTCCATAGGCTGCAACTCATTAAGTGCTCTAGGTTTTTAACTAAGACCTGCTGTTTGACCGATGCGTGCCAGATGCGCTCCGCTGTTAGAGTATGGGGCTGTCAGAGGTTCTCGGGTTGCCCCCAGGCTCTGAAACCAAAAATTTTCACTCCAACAAGAAAGAAATGAGACCGAGACCCTCTGGTCCAAGGACACCCTGAAACAGGGAGGAACTGCACCAGAGCTCATGGGCATCACTGACATGGCTAGGAGAGAGCTTGGATGAAGACAGCTTCTCCCTTTCTGCTCAAGTGTTGCGATGTGACAGCAACCCCAGCCCCAGGTAGGCGGCCAGGAGACCCGGCAGGATGATGGGGTCCTGGTTTCAGCTGGGATAGCGTTGATTTTTCTTCCTAGTAGCTGGTATAGTGCTGTGGTTTGGATTTAGGATGAGAGCAATGCTGATAACACACGGATGTTTCAGTTGTTGCTAAGCAGTGCTTACACTGGTCAAGGACCTTTCAGCTTCCCATGCTCTGCCCGGTGCACAGGAAGCTGGGAGGGGGCACAGCCAGGACAGGTGACCCAGACTGGCCCAAGGGCTATTCCATATCATATGATGTCATGCCCAGTATATAAACTGGGGAGAGCTGGCCAGGAGGCAGCAATCGCTGCTCAGGGACGTGCTGGGCATTGGTCGGCGGGTTTTTACTTCAATTATTAAACTGTTATTATCTCAACCCACGAGTTTTCTGACTTTCACCCTTCCAATTCTCTCCCCCATCCCACTGGGGTGGGGGGAGTGAGCGAGTGGCTGTGTGGGGCTTAGTTGCTGGCTGGGGTTAAACCACGACAGATGGACACCTTTCTCCTCCCCTTCTTCCCCACCTCCTGCTCTGCAATGCTGGGACGGGCACACTGTCCTGCTTCTGAAAAATGGCTTGGGCTGTGACTGCTGCTGCTTCTGCCAATGCCAACAGGAATTTGCTGGCCCGGAGGAAGGCTCAGTGTGAGGAGGTGCTGGGTCTCCTTCAGGGAAGGGCTGCTTTGGCTGGACACGAGCGGCTGGGCAGAGCCCCTCCGCAGACCCCGGCTCACCTGCTCACACAGGGAACGGAAGCCAAACTCCTCCAGCCGGTCAAGCTCATAGGTTTCCCCCAGCAGCGGGTTGAATGGCTTTGCGGTGCGGTGGACAGTCGTTGAGTAGGAAGACACTGAAAATGCAGCGACGAAGCACATCTGCTCCGTGGAGCTCTCGCACTTGACTGCTTTGTCCAGCAGCTCGTGGTACTCCAGGTCCTCTGTCAGCCTCTGCAGCATTGAGAGCGGCTCATTGAAGTTTACCTGGAGGGGAACAAGTAAGGGTTAGCAGAGCAAGAGAGATGCCAAGCTGGGCACTTCACCCTTTGCCTTTTTCCCCCAGCACGGTGCCTTGCTAACCACTGGCATCCCACACATTTGTATCTCGGAGCACGGTGCAGTGCACCGTCAGGGATCCAGGGTGGATAGCAACTGCCAAAGCAAAGCAGCAGCCCCGCAGGGCAGCTCACAGAACAGGGCTGGATGTGCCAAGGCACGCTGCCTCCACATTGCCTCTGCAGCATCATGCAAACGTTAAATAAAGGCAAGAAGTGTGTGCTCTGCCATGCTCCCTGAACCATACAAAGAGAGCATGAAGGCTTTGAAGTTCCCAGCTGAGAAGAGGTATACCAGGGAGCCGGCAGCCCTGCGAGCTAACCAGATATCATCCCAGATATCACCTTGCTCTGATGACGGAGCACCAGTGACCCCCAAAATGAGCCTCAGCAGCAAGACCAGCTCCCTCCTGCTTCCCGGCCAGCATCCCACCGGCCGTGAGCAAGAGGCGATGCAGGGCAGGGAAGTGCTGCTCCCTGGGCTGCCCTCCATCGCCTCCTGGCAAAGCCACCCCCACGCCAGGCTGCAGCCCAGTTGCTCAGATCTTGAAAAGCCCCATTTTGGGGTCTCCCTGCTCCTCGGACTGCAGCCCCAAAACAGCACCCAAACTGCATCTGAGAGCTACAGGCAGCGGCAACGGCCATGCCCTGCAGGGCAGAGAGCGGAGGGGAAGCTGTGTCCTGGGAGAGCCTGAACGGGTCGTATTTCCAGCCCCAAATCATTGCTTTGTCAATTAGAAAACTTTTTGCTGTACTTTGCCAGGTTGGACAGGCTGCAAACATCTCTGGGGAAAAAACAAACAGTTGATTTTAGCAAAATTTTTTGTTCTGAAAAGAACTGAAATATAAAAATAATTGAAAGGAAGATGGAGATACTTTGTCTCAGAAGGTCTTCTGCCTCAAAACCATGTGAAATTTACTTTTTACTTTCAGTTCAGAATAAAGAAATACATTTTAGAAGGAGCAGATGGTTGAAGGATGGGAGAACCACTTCTATAAGCCAAGTTACATATTTCACACTAAAGAAAACAAACCCCAGATCGTTCCACTCGGGGATTTAAGTAGCAGGGATTTTACAGCATCCGAGCAAGAAAGAGCTGTGTAGAAATGGCAGCATCACATCCACAAAAATCACAGCCAGCTTGAGATAACTCTCAGGAGAGATGCAGGCGGCATGAGAACAAAGCCAACAGCTGCATCCTCTCCACCAGCACCGCTCAGGCAACGGCAAAGCAAAACCTTTCCATGAAGGAAGGAAGATGAACCCACCCGAAACGCAAAATCCCTAAAGCTGTTTTCTTCTTTTTCAATGCCGCAGGTTTGTTCATTCAGAGGAGGAATTAAGGAGTGGTTTTGCAGTCCCTCACGTCACCTGGGAAGGGGATGAGGTCTCGGAAATGCTCCTAATTTGCCAAGAATCAGGTGAAGTGCATGGAAGGAGAAACTCCCATTTCTCGGTGCACACAACAGGCTCACCGATGGTTTGTACTATAATTAACCATGTTTCCAAACAGCCCTCCCCAAGCCAGCTGCTCTGCTTCCTTCTCCTCCTCCTTCGCTCCGTTTACCACAACATCAGCTTGAAAGCCCTCATTTGGCAGCTCTGTCTCGATTTCCAGAGCTGCCAGCTTTTCCTGTGCTCCAAGCACGCATACTATGGAGAGAGAATTTAAATGGCTGTTTAAAGGAGATTAAATTGCCCCTTGATGCCTTACCACAGGCTGCTTGTTCTTGGGATGAATCTGCCAAAGAAATGCCGCATGTGGCTGAACTTGCAGGGTGCAAAGCATCTCCCTGCCTCCGTATCTGTACAGATATCCAGACAGAGGAGCTGACAGCGAGCGGTTGACGCCAAGCTGAGCCCCTTCTTTATAACCCATAGCTCTGCTGAACAGTTTACAGAGACAGCAGTGCTGGGAAACCAGATCTACTCGCCCCAGGGAGGGGATGGAGTAATTACATCCCCCGAGCCGGCGCCGGGGGCTGCTGTGCTAGCAGAACATATTGCTCTCAGGTTTGGACTCAGCTTTAGCAGCTCCCGGAATGATTTGATTGATAGGGAAGGTATAAATTTCCTCTCTCCAGGCACCAGCAGCTGCTGGTATTTCATGTCCTGAGTTTATTTCTGTACCCATCACGCCTTTATCTGATATTGATGCTGCTGCAGAAACGGTAACGGACAGCACTGGGCTGTACATCTCGACTGGAAATAGCACAAGGAAGAGACAAACTCATTGCTCTCGCTCGGAGAGTGTCAGGCACTGCTTTAAGAAGAGACAAAATACAATTGATTCAGCATCCAAGCCCCTGTTAACACACTCCTTCCCCTTTACCCAGCAAAGGAAGGACCCCGAATATGGCTCCAGGGTTACGGATCACACTTTCCTGGGCTACTTCCACTCCAGTCAGCACCACAAGACTCCAGTCACCCCCAGCTGTTTTACAACTCTCCCAAGCTTGGCAGGACTTCATGGTTTTTGGGGAAACGGATTCCTTACGATGGCACCCAGTCCCATCCATGCCACTCGCTGGGCTGGTGAAGACCTGATAGAGAACCAGCAGCCTGGAAAGGGCTGGTTTGCTCTGAAAAAAAGGGCTGTGGTTTTGGGGGAGCTTTGGCGTGGGCAGTGTTTTGTCTGGGTATATGAGGCAGAGGGTTATTTGTCTGCAAGAATTAAACGCACATCCCACTTACCCTCTGTGGCAGCCCACGTGAGGGGGGTTCCTCCAGACAGAGCCCTGCAGGAAGCCTTCGCCCCAAGGAGCAAACCCAGCAGCACCCAGCAGTGTTGTAAACTGTCCCCACGGCACCTCCTTCACTAAAAGGCTTCTCTTTGCAAGGAAAATAAAGGTGCTCTGGGTCTCTGGGGTGAAACACGGCCCTGCCGTGCTGTCGGTGCAAGTGGGGCTGCTCTCCAAGCATCGTGTCCCCAGGATGCACTCTGAGGAAAGCATGATCAGCAAGAAGGTCTCTTCTAGCCCCTGGGTGAGACACTTGAATCTGCAAGGATTCACGGTGTCCTGGTTCTCTCCTTGCCTCAGCACCGGCTGGATTTGCAGAGGACACTTGGGCAATGTCCTCTCTGCTCCAGCTTGCCCTGGCACTCGTGTGAGCAAGCTGCCAGGAGCATGGGCACTCCAAGGCTCTCCACAGCCAGCACAGGAGAAGGGATCAGTCCCAAGGAAAAAGCCGACCCAATTCAAATAGTCCCTAATGTAATAGCCACGATGTCAGAGCCGTTTACCACAAAGCAATTAGCACTACAGCTCCGTGCTGCTGAGAACAACCCCCTCCTGCCTGGCTGGTTTAGCTTTCTGGCTGTGCTGGCTCTCTGGCAGCAGGCGAATGATTTCAAGGGGCAAATAAATTGCAGGGAAAAACACAGGGCTTAGAGTCAGCAGAGCTGAGCAGCAAGGACACATCAGTGCTGCATCACAGGGCTGGGGAGAATAGTGAGGTGGTTTCAGAGGGCTCTGTCAGTGCAGAAGCCAGTCCCCCGGGATGGAGTTGGCAGCTGGTGACATGCTCCTGTCCCGCTTGGGGCTGCTATGCTACCATAGCACATGGCAGGACCACCTGGTGCCATAATCCAAATCCTTTGCACAGCCAACAGCCATGCCCAAACTAAACCCTCAACACTGGCATCATGGCAGCACCCTCAGCCCTTGGCGCCTGGGACACGCTCACTTACAGGCATGGGGATCTTGGAGAGCTCTTTGCCGATGCAGTTCTTCATGATGCTCCAGAGGTTAAGGCTGTAGTTAGGTTTGTCAGGGATGCGAGTCCGTCTCCTTTTCTTCGGCAGGAGATCTTTGCAAGTGGACTCATTGTAGCTGCTTTGATTTGAGCTTTCAAAGACCTGTGGAAGCAACAAAAGAAACACAGGTCTAAGCTGGACTCACCCAGCATGACCCAAATGCAGCAACCACAGCTCAGGAGATACTGCGTGCACTTGTGCTGGGGAGCATCGCTGGAAGCCTGTTCTCCAGGGCACGGGGGAAATAACGGGGCAATTGCCCCCCAGCACTTTCCTGCTTCCCTTAAGGTGCCTGGGGTGCTGCTGTAGGATATCTGTCCCTCCGCCGTGGCTCACAGAGCAACCAACTCTGCTCCATCCTGGAGGTGCAGGAAGAACCCGGATGGAGAGTCCCTCCAACAACCTCCTCCTCTCCTGCTCCTCTCGCCTGGTTTCATCCTACCAGGACTGTCCCTCCCGCTCTGCCCGGCCAACTCACACTGTCCTCCAGGTTCCAGTCCTCAGGGTGGCCCTCGCTGGCCCCACTCAGGTTACTGCCCGAACGCCTGCAGGGAAGAAAGTACCAACTGGAAAACTCGAGCAAGGGCAGAGAAGAGGAGAGAAGAACCAGGGTTGGTGCAGCACAGCCCCCATCACCCAGAGCAGCTCCCTGCACCACCCCAGGGTGCTGCCAGGAAAGCAACAGGGTGACAGAGGCCATGCAAAGGCATTGCGAAGGGATGCTCAGTGCAGGGTGTCCCAGCCTGAGGGCCAAGAGCCTCTGCGTTTGCCAGCAAGCCCAGCGGTGTGACCGTGGTTCAGACCACAGGTGCCTCCAGCCCAGACAGACACCCAGGGAGGTGTAACAGCAAGTCAAGGCAGACGAAGGCAAGGTACTCCCCGCTTCTGCCCAATGCTCCAAGGGATCTTCCTCCAAGTCCCTGTCCAGGCTCCCCTCGAGCCCACATCAGCTGCTAGGGAACAGGACTCAGCTTTACCCCAGCACGGGCTTGACACCTGCCCTTCCTCGCCTGCTTCGCTATAGCTGGGGCCATCCTCAGCCTCGCTTGCTCCACGAATGCAAGAGCAGACGGGCACAGTACAGAGCCCTGGGCAGAGGCAGCCCGTTTGCTGGGGGACATGCATGCAGAATAACCCTCTGTGGGAGAGGATGCTGCCCTCAAGCCCAAGCACAATGCCAGGCAAACCGTCCCTCCCCTGCTCTTCCCGCACTCACAGTAGGTCTCACCAGACTGCACCATGCAACGCATGGCCCCGGGCGCGGGCTTGTACCTGTGGTGCTTGGGGTCTGCAGTTACAGTGATAAAAGCTGGTGCATCCTCCATGGCATCAAAATACTCTGTTTCTTCATCTTCATCACTGGCCTCTCCTTTGGCGGACTGCACGCTCCCTGTGGGCACAGTTTGAGATGCTCAGGTGCTGCCGGTCCCCTTTTGAATCCATCAAGCACAAGTCTGTCCCCAGAGCCCACCCTCCTCCTGCTTTGTCCCCTCCAACGCTGCCTCCCTTAACAGCTTGTCCCACTCCTCTCCATCCCACTCCATGACGGGAGGATGCCGTACCAATTTCCAGCTCCTAAAAGCAAGGATGTGCCCTGGCAGTGCGTGTCCTGCTCCCCAATCCGGGCACACAAGGCTCCCCTGTCACGCTCGGGAGCACCTCCAAAAATGCCACCAGGCTGCCTGACCCAGACACACAGGTGAGACTCGCACACCCAACCACATCTAACACGGCTGCCACTCCAGCGCCACCCCGTCTGCCGGGAAACCCGGTTTGGATTAAAATGGGAAAAAAAAAAATCACATGTTTCAGGTGATGCTCAGATAGAGTTCCTGGCTGTCGGGTTTTCCAGCCCCACACTTATAAACATTTCTCTTCTCTGCTGCAGTGGGAGAGATTGCTATGAAGCCAGGAGCAGACATTAATTGCGGTGACTTTTGAGACCTGGTGCGGCTTCCCTGCTGCTGCCCTTGCTGCACTGCTCCCCGAGTGCAGCCTCACCACGCGCCTCACTGCTCTGCCACAAAACCACCGCTCGAGCAGCTGCGCCGAGCAGCCACGATGGTGCAGGGCACCCGGCAGAGATGACCACCTGTCTCGGGGCCTCTGGGTGTTACTGCTGCTCCGGCAAGGGGGATACCACAGGATCCCGCAGCACTGCCGAGGCCACGTGGAGGGACCAGAACAGCCGGGCTGCAGCCACCCTGCCGCAGCAGCCCGTCTGGCTCAGCAGTTGGCTCGGCTTCCTGGCAGTGTTTGGGCACCCCTTTCCCTGCATCATTCCCACATTCCTCCAAAGGAGCAGTATCACCCCTCGCGATGGGGTCGGGCTGGATTTGTGCCTGTCCCTACAGCGATTTCCCCCCTGCCCTCCCCAGCTGTGCCACAGAATCACAGAATCACTGAGGTTGGAAAAGACCCTTAAGATCATCAGGTCCAACCCTCAACCTACCACTGCCAAGCCCACTCCTAAGCCATGTCCCTGAGCACCACGTCTACACGTCTTTTAAATACCTCCAGGGACGGGGACTCAACCACTTCCCTGGGCAGCCTGTGCCAGTGCCTGACAGCCCTTTCAATGAAGACATTTTTCCTAATCCAATCTAAACCTCCCCTGCTGCAACTTGAGGACATTTCCTTGAGGCCATACAAGAACGAGGGCAGTGCCTGGCACTGCCATCACCCCCCCAACAGCCACTATTCTCTCCCTTGAGTCTATATATCCTTTAAAAATAAGACAAGGCATAATTTGCAGTTTTTGGCTACCAGGCTGTAACTAATGCCTCCCACAAGGAAGAAGATTTGGCATGAATATGCAAAGCTGTTAGATTTTATTGCCCAGTAACTCTTGCGACCAGCAAATGAGCTGTGGCTGTGCCACCGCCACCCTGAGCAGCAGGGAACTCGGCAGCGCCAGGGAACCCTGGGCTTCCTCCGAGCACCGTGGCTGCCCTCCAGCAGCCGGAGATGTGCCCGCCAGTGAAGGTTAAAGCTAATGAAATATTCTGAAACAGCACGAGCAAGCTGGGCACATAGCCCTCTCCTGCATCCGTATCTTGGGGACATCCAAGTCCCCAAGCAAGGAGCAGCAGGACAATTAGGGACAATTATGGCATAATGGGATCCAGTAAAAAAAAATCACAGGCATACAGGGCATTACCTTGTGCATCCTTCTTATCCCTGCCGACTCGCTGGGAGCAATCAAGCCGAAAGCCCCAACCAGGGCTTCCCGCAGGGCTCTGCCCCTGTAACAGCACCCAGCCCCGGCCCGCGGCCTGGCCCGCCGGCGCTCACCCTTGGCAGTGCTGGTGATGCCAGTGCTGCTGGAGGACAGGCCGGGGGCTCCGCGGCAGGCTCGCTCCAAGCTGTTGTGCTGCTTGGCTAACTGCTCGATGGTCTCCTCCAGCCGGATCCTCTGCTCCCGCTCATACTGCAGCACCCGCTGCCATTTTCGGCTGTGAGTTTCGGCTAAGTCCAGGAAATTGCGGCAAGCCTGGAAGGGAAGAAGGGACATGTCAGCACCCAGCCCAGCCCTCGCAGCTCGGGAGCTTGTCATGGAGCCAGTGCTGGCACATGGTGACTCCAGAGCTGACTCCTGACCACCCCGCCTCCTCCTGTCCCAGGACCCCAGAGCTTTGCACAATGCCCCATACCCACGGAGCTAAAATCAGTTCAAGTCTGACCATCCAAACCTGAATCATCTCCAAGGAGATGGCTGCAACGTGGACAACTGCTCTGAGTCTACAAAGCCTTCATGAGTCCCATCTCCCGCAGCAGCCGGGCTCGCCATGCCCCAGCCCCACAGGCTGTTCCTGTCCCCAGCCTGATCGCCAGTCCCTGAGAGCCCAGGCTGGGCTCACACAAACCTCAGCCAAGCCCAGCCTTTCATGGATGCCCTAAGATCTCGAGCAGCCACCTCCATCCCCAATCAGATGAGGAGAAGCTGGACAGGACAATGGTCCCCAGGGTGACAGCCACAGACAGAAGAGGACGCTCAAGCTGGGAGCCAGCGAGCCCTTTGCTTCAAGGAGGCAGAGAGGGAGGATGCCCATATCCTCCCCAAAGCCGCACAACCCAGCAGACAGCAAGGGCCTGGCCTGGCCCCCATCACACATTCAGCATGGCCAAAAGCCCTCCTCCTCTCCACAATGGGCCCTTGGGACTCAGCAGCCGCGGGGGGACACGCAGACACGCTGGGCACAAGGGAAGGAGGGCTCACGGGATGCACTATGTGTCCTGTCCATGTCCTCTGCCACCAGGCAGGGGACAGCTGGGACACCGCGACCTCGGCTGACAGGATAACCCCTCGGTGGCATTAACCGCTGCCGCAGCCCCTCGAGCCCCCCTCAGCACCGCCGCGATTGCAGGCATTGCCCATCCCCAGGCACGTCGGACGCCCGCTGGGACATTTCCGGGCGCAGGACGTCCGCTTGGGGATGGGAACGCTGCCAGCTCTCGCAAGCTGCCTTTCTATTGTCCGACAAGAGAGAGACAGCCCTCAGAGCTCTATTTTTAGGTTATTTTTCATACTAGACTGAAACACTGAGTCCCCTCAGCTCCGCCACTTCCTTTGTGATCAGCCCCACGTGAAGCTGAGCACAGAGGCAGGCCTGCACCTCCTCCCTCCGTCCCCTAAACCTCTGAAAGTTGGGACACACTAAACACCTTCTTACATTTAAAAGCAGGAAGATATGATTTTTATGGAAATTCTATAGGAGTTTGGAGGCAGGCTGGTAACTTGCAGGCAGACTAACTGTGCTTGTCGTTCGGCTAGCTCCAACTCATCGCCATACCAAGGGAGGTCCTCTTTAGATAAATACTGGCCTGAAAAACTCAAAACTATTCAAAAGGACTAAAACCAGAGACTTCTGAATGTCTAACAGACTTCTAACTATCCCCAGGACTCGGTTATTTTCTGTGTTTCCATCTACTTGGATTTCACATGTGATTTATTCAGCTCTTGGCAGGTTACTCTAAATTTGGGCTGCAGGTGGCACCTGAATATCGAGTTATCTCCTGGTCAAGCAACAGGCTCAGGGCTTCAGCTTCCATGACCTGGCCTGATTTTACCAGGATTTGTCCAAGAAAAGCTCCGATTCATCAGTTCTTCAACACACCTCTCCTTTGGATAGGAGCAGGATTTGAGTCTCATCCAGGGAAAGAAGTTTTTCCTTTAATAACATCAGAAACAAACCACCAGGGAAGTGACACAAAGCATCAGGTTTTCCTATTTGAGGTGAAGAAGCACAAAGCAGAGGGAATGAATATCCCAGGATAATAAAGAAAAATGCAGGAGGTGGGTGCGTGTGCTTCCAGGGACAGCCTGAACACCACCACGTCCCCTGGCAGCTCACGACCATCCCCAGCCTCACCTCGAGGAGCCCCCTGGTCGCGGGAAGAGGCAGGAACCAAACTCAGATCAGATAAACGAAGGACGAACACGAGTTTGCGCCTGTCCTTTGGAAAAAAAATCAGCGTAACCCATCATATTTAAAAATTGTATCCACCTCCAGTTTCTCCTGCTTCCTAATATCTGCAGCATGGAAGGATATGACCCTACATTTGTGTCATCTCCATCCCTGATTGCTCCCACCCGCCCTCACCGTGCAGAGCTCAGTCCCCAGGCAGGTTTCTGCAGGATCAGTCCCAGCATCAAACTGGCCAGGGTGAATTTAAACCCACAGACCATGCTCTTGCAAACCTGCTACTTTCTCCAGTGCGGACGGGTATACGCAAGTGTCCCAAGGGCGAGCTCCAACATACATCAGTCTTCAGCATCACTAAGGCTCTCTAATGAGATGCAGTCACGTGTGGTTTTGCTAGGCAGAAATAACTCAGCCTAAAAGTGTTTGCAAGCTCTGAACGCGCGTTTGTCCTACGGCGTCAGCTTCTCAGCCTCTGGATTTCCATTTGTGGCCATCAGCGACTCTAGGAAGCAACTCAGCGGTGCTGTCACACTGATGGAGATGATACCTACCTGCCTGAGCTCAATAAATATTCCCCTGCGAGCACCACATTGCAATGGCATTAAGGCTGTATCATTAGCCAGGAGAAAGGGTGGAAAACCCCCTAGGAAAGGAGAGGGGCAGAGCCCTTCGCACATTCTCACTGCCATGATGGGCAGCGTGGCTCCCGCAAGCTTGGAGCAATACAGCAGGTACCACCGCTTTGCCGTTTCTCTGATTGCAGGCAGGGAGGTGTCAGGGTCCCATCCCGCCAAATTCCTAGCTGTGCTCCCATCCTACACCCCCCTAGCCTGACGGGGAGCACCCAGCTCCTCCTCACGTGAGCCACAGACCCCACGGGACTGCATGGATGGCCATGGGGAGATGTGAGAGGAGACCACAGATTTTCAGGGTGCTTCGCACCGCGTTTTCACCTTATTCTCCAGAAGCAACTCAGCTCCTCTCCCCACCCTGAAAAGTCCTGTTGGCAGCCACCCACGGCCGCAAAACCCATGGGCAGACCCTGCCCTGATGCCTTCAAAACGAGCTTCAAGCTAAAGCCTCCTGCCAGTTAAAACTAACCCATGCCCCAAGCTGGCACACTGGCTTCTTTTATTACACTGATGCATTGTGATAAGAGGATGAAACCTCAAGGGCAAGTAATGAGATGGCGGCTGTGACCTTCCCAGCCCAACAAAGCTCATTATCTGCTCCGAAGGTCCCTCTCCACAGGCAGCCCGCACGCAGCGGGCACAGAAATACCCATTTTGGCACAGCTCACTGGCACCAAGGATGGAAACTGCTGGCTCTCCCCGGCTCAGGGGGTTTAGCATTTTAAAACGATGCGCTAGGAGATTACCTGTAATTATCCTGCTGCAATTAAACATGGTTTGTAAGTTATAACGGTAAATTAAGGGAAAAGGAGTTAATTACAGAGGAGCCACGTGAAGGCAGCCCTCCAGCGCATCGCCAGGGAGCTGGGAGCCACGGGATGCAAAGAAGAAATCATTCGATCAGTCGACAGACATCAATGTCCTAAATAAAAATCACAGCAGATAGAACCTCGGGTCCTCCCATCCCAAGGCTTCTGAGCTTCACAGAGGATCCATGCTGTATCCCAAAGGGAAATCTGCATCGAGAGGCTTCATTTACATCCATATAAAAAACCATCCATGCGATGAAGAAGTGGCTGTCGGCATTGCAGACTTTCTCCACCGAGCGTGGGGAGGTTTTTGGAGGATGGCTGCGATCGTCCTTGCGCTGCCCCAGACCCCGCCAGAGGCAGCGGTACCTCCACGCAGCAGCTCGGGACGATGCTTGTTCCTGCCAGCATCCCACACGCAACTTGTGTCCGTGTGGATTTAGGGGCCAGCTGGGGTATGCGCAGGGTTTATTCCCTGTTTTCAAAAGACTGTCAGGCCACCTTTCTGCAGCCTCTTCCTCTGTAATTCAGAGGCTGGCATAAACGCCCTGCCCTTGGTCTGATCCAAACCACCACACTCGCAAAGCATCTGGATCAACCTGGGCAAGCGTCACGTTTGTTTGTTGGAAGAGAAGCAATGCCGAGGGTGGTAACAGGAGAACAGCCTGCAAGAAAGATCCCCCAAGCCCAGCCCCCCAGCTGCCAGCAACAGCCAAGCAAATTAAAATTATTAGTTTTATACTTTCTACAGCCAGACAGTGCAGAGTTTCACAGGGATGCTTGCCAGAGGCGACAGTAGCACTCAACAGGGCTCAGGGTGTATTTTTCCACCACCATCTCTGTCGACAGAGCTCATTCCTGAGCCAAAATGTGGCCCAGAACCCCAGCATGGAGCAGGGGCAGCACCAGCCCATGAGCTCCCCGGGGCTGCAGGGAGCCGGGGGCGAGTAGCTCAGACACAGGCATCTCCCCCAGGGAGGTCAATATCGAAGAGAAATGAATCCCAGCCCGGGATTTTCCTCAACCCCCGTGTCGGGTTTTCCTCAACCCCCATGGTTGCTTGTGTGGTCCACGAGAGGCCAGGTCTCAGCCCGAGACGTCTCAGCCACACCTCAGCTCCATGCCCTTCGGTGGCGCAAACAAAACCCCCCTCAGCTGAGGCTGTTTTGACCGTCCCCACCTTTGCCAACAATGCACCAAGACCGGCAGCCGTTGTGTTATAGCGTTTGCTCGTACAGCACCGGCTCGAGCGAGGAGCCACGCTGACCTTTCCCCAAGACAAAGAAACATCAAACACGGCCGCAATCCGACATCCTCCGAGGCCACGTCCTCCCCAGCTGCCAGCAGCAGTAATTAAAACACCGCTGGCTGCTGCTTCCCACTGAAGGACATGACACAACTTACTTCGGTTACAGCTGCCCAGAGAGCTGCACCTTCCCCTCGGACACACCTTCCTCTTCCAGTGAAACCCCTCGCAGCACGCTGTCCCCGTCCCCCCGAGACGCAGAAAGGAGCCCACGGACGCACCGCACTGGAGCCGGCATGCCAGCACAGCACTGCTGCTTGGTGCGGTGGAACACGCCGGCGAGGCCAGCCCACTGCTCCCGGGGGAAACAAATCCGGAAGGAAACCGTTCACGAGGAGCAGTTGGCCAGGTTCCCTGCTCCGGGCTGGGACAGCTTCACCACCGCGCTCAGTGACATCCATCACTGAGATGCTTTTTCCAGCTGGCTGAGCACCACCAGCTCTCGGGGCTGTTTGGTGCCGCTGTGGAGCAAGAAAATGTGGCCAGGAAAATGGTCCTGGAGGAAAGGGGAGCAAAGGCAAGTGGGAGACAGCGTTGGAAAGGGGGATGTCCTGCCAGGTGTGGGTTTGGGGGACGATGGTGAGATCCTGAGCAGCGGGTGGCCGTGCAGGGAAGAGAGGAAGGAAGAGCGATGTTCACCGAGCGCAACAGCCGGAGCAGGAGGCGGCACGACGGTGGGATGCTCTGCGCATGCCCTCCCCCGCACAGAGCTGCAGCAGAAGCTGGGACGGGCAGCAGGAGAAGCCCCAGAGCTGCTGCTTCAAAGCCCAGATCCTCCCACCAGCAACCCCAGCGCAGGATTTGCAACACCCCACACCCCGTTGCCCAGGATCAGGCCCGCAGGTGACACCAGTGTGCTCGCAGGAGCACAAGAGACACACAAAATATCTGCTCCAGGATTTTCTGAAACCGGTCAGGCTGTGAGGTCCCTGGGACAGGGCTTTCGCAGGCACAGCGCCCAGCACCCTGATTTCTGATCGCTCCTCTGCAAATGGGTGAAACAAGTCAGGCCATCACCCGTTGTTGCTTGCACCCCAAATGGCAGCAACCAGCTTGCACCAGCTACAGGCTGGGGATCCTGGAGTGCTCTGCAAAGCTCCCATTCATGCAGGGGCACCTGGCAGACACCTGTGCACAGCCCAGGGCAGGATTTAACCCTTAGGCTCTTTAGTGTCAGCTGTCATGCACCGTTAGCAGGCGTCTGCTCAGCACCATGGGCATCCAGGCAAGGGAGAGCCAGTAATTGCAAATAGGGATTTCCCCACAGCCCTCCAACTGGTTTTCTTGGATGTTTGCAAGCAAGGATTGCAAATTCGCTCTCCACAGAGCGGCACAGCAGGCTCAGGCATTGAGCCAGATTTCCAACAGCCACCGTGCTGCTTTGGCGCAGGGTGCAAGCAAAACGGGGAGCAGCTTCCCATCTCTGTACGAATTGCCCTAAATCTCAGCCGCTGCGACTGCAAAAGCTTTTTGAAATGCAGCTGCTGGGAAGCCCTGACGCAGCACTGGCACTCTGGGGGTCCGTCCTCAATGACAGGGACCCCGCGGAGGGCACCAAGAGCTGGGAGAGTCCCAGGGGACCCCAATCCCAAGGGAGAAGGACACAGACCCTGCTGAAACTCCAGCATCCTGGGTCATTGCTCATTCATTTCATTAATCCCCCCATTCAAAGGTGCAAACAATTGTAGTCGCTGAGCAGGAGCAACGCCTCGAAATCCAGCTTATAAAACCGTTATGGAGTGGCAGCTAAATTTAGTTACAGCTGAACCTGATCTGGGTTATAAGCAAGACACAGCTGCAAATCCACGTTACGCTGGCGCAGGGACACAGGCCATCCTCGCAAAGGTCAGCGGGCAAGAGGCTCCTTGATGAACGTACTGCAAAGGAGAGCACAGCTGCCAGTTTGCAGGATGAAAGCCAAAGAGAAGCAATTCCCCAGTGAGCTATATGGCCAGGGTGTCAAGGCTAAGCGCATGTAAGAATACAGCCTTCATATAGATATCCCATCATCATCTGCAGAGCTTACCCATCCCACAGCTTCCTGGCAGCATGGGGGGAGACCACGTCACACCCATATGCCCACGTCTCCCTGAGCCATCGCTGCCACGACACAGCTGCTGTGTTTTAGCAGCGCCTGGATGCACGCAGGGTTCGGGCAGCCCCAACGTTTGCTCCAGTCCCGCACAACGGGGTTGCTCTTACCCCCAGCCCAGCCAGGGAGGGACGGGGCACGGCGGTGCTGTGCATGCAGGGTTTCAGGGAGCCACCCACTAACACCACGGAGCAGGGTCCATCAGGAGGGCAGTCGGCTGCTTTCAGTGTCTCCTGGAGAAAAAGGTGATTTCTCCCTCCCAACCTACCCAGCCTGCACAAACTGTCTGTGCTGCCTTCCTCAAAGGTCTCCCCATGACCAACCCTCCAGCAAGCAGGAGGAGAGGGACCAGCAGAGGATGCTGTGCCCGTCCCCACACCCCACCACGAGATTGGCTTTAATCCTCTGACACCCCAGCTGCTGCCTCCCCGCATACAGAGATGGTGGGCTACAGGAGGTGGTACAACATGTCCCGGCTTTTGCCACGGAGCCAGAGCTGGACAGAGCCCCAAAGTCCAACCACCAGTGCTGCAGCCCAGAGACCACACCATTTCTCGGCATTGTCACAACACAAAGTCAGGGTCGGAGAGCAGTGGCCAAGATGCTCTCCCACTCCGCAAGCAAGCTTTTTTGAAAATAATTAAGCCGGCAGTGAGGCTAAGAGGCAAGGCTGCTTCATCACCCCTGAACATCCCAGCCAGTGCTTACCCCTTTTCACCTTGCAATGCTGGCAGATCACCAGCAACTACAGATAAAAGCAAGCTCCATCCACCTGCAGTACGGGCGCAAGGTCCCAGGGAACCCCAGTATTACTTGCGATCGGGTAGCAGGAGGAATAGAGGTGGCTTCTCCTCCCCTCCATGGCTGGAACAAGTTGTTGTAGCAGCTCCTAATCCAGCGTTGGATGGTGGGGCTGTAAATCCCCATAAAGACAAGGAGGCACAGCCAAAGTGGCCAAAAGAGTGTAGTTTTGTGGAAAAAAACACTGAGGCTCCTGCAAATTCCCATGGAGGAAGAGGCAAGGTGCCATTAAGACCCTGCTGGGGAGCAGGAGGCGAGATGCGGTGCTGCCAGCTCCGTGGTCTGCAGCAGCCGCCGCGATGGGCAAATTTAGCACTTTTCACACATTCGTCACAGCAAATATACCAGATTTCACAGCTTGTTGCAGGCTAATAGGAATGTCGTTAATGGCCCGTGGATTATTTATGCAGCTGAAAACGATCACCCGAGGTCAGTCGCGTCCTGCCAAGGTGGTGGTGTCACACGCCCGTGGGCATCTCTGCAGAGCAGCAGCACTCCTGGTTCCTTGACAGGAGCAAACAGTCAATATTAGAGACAAAGAACACAGAGACGAAGTTAATTAGCTTGAAAGTGTAAATGATCACATCAGGCAGTGCCAGATTTCTGCCCCGAGGTCTGAACCACGGGGGATGACAATGTCTCGGGGACGGCCTAGCACAGCTGAGCATTTCACCACCTCCAACACAATGCTGATGGATGCCGAGGGAACACACTCAGACCTGCAGTCCCACCTGCCTTGAGCACCCCAGAGGAACAGCCCTGTGAATCTAACCTTTGGGGAGGAAAAAACCTGCCAGGGAAGTGCTTACTGTTCTGGGAGTGACATCTACTGCTCCTCAACCAAACCCTTCCTTTGTTTGCATGGGACAAGGACCGCTTCATCGCCCAGGAGTGACACGAGAGAAGGCAACCGCCAGATGCGTTCAATCATCTCTTTTTCAATGGTGAATTATACAGCAAGAGCCGTCACTTCATTCATCAGGGGAAAGAGCGCCTTGCCATTTTGCATGCGTCTGGTGCCTCGGAGATAAGTGCTCCCTTCCTTCCTGGAGTCATCAAAACCCTGGGACACATCTGTGCTGCTGCTTACTGCAAAACAGCCCCCCAAGGCAAGGGCGATTTCTGATCCTCTTTTTAGCTCTGAACACATTCACACTGTGTCAGTGCTCCAGGCGCATGCCACAGCACAAAAATGAGCCGTTTGGCTTCAGAGCGGTGAGATATGCAGAGCGTTTGCCCCGCGAGAGGGTTAATTTGTCATCCCCCCATCCCCGCAATACTCTGAGCAGAAAGCGAAAGGAAAAATACAAGGATGGAGCCGGCCCGAATCGCAAGTTATCTCGCACATCATCTCATGACATGGTTTTGAATGTAGTCATCTGCCACGACAGCGATGGTACTCACAGCCGTGCCAGTGGCCCAAGGCCAGGCTGGCTGGACACCAGCAGAAGCAGCAGCACAGGGAAACATTCCGATTGACACAGACTGCTTAAATACCAGCAAATCTGTCCCAAATACTTGGAGTGACCCTCAGCCAGCTCATGAGCATCCCAGCTCTCTGAAGCAGGAGGATGCAGGCACATCGAGAGCTGCTTCTCCCTGGGGCAGGGCTGGTGGCAAGAGCAGAGCCTGAAAGAAGGTGCTGGGCTGAGCCTCACCAGGTCACGACACCACGAAAAAATGAAGTGGCATTGCATAAAAGCCTGTGAGGACAGTAGGTGTGAGTTGGATGCCGAAAATCATCCCACTCCCTATTGCTTTTCTAAGAATACTTCTAAGCGTTACATTGGGCGGAGCTTTACATCAGGCAAAACTGGTGCTACAGAAATGCATGGACATGGAAAAGCTCATTAGTGTCCCAATGGGGAGTGAGAAGACACCAGAGCAGAGCAGGCTCCAGCCCACCTCATGGTGACCTGCAGCACGCGCTGCATGCTGCCAATGTCAGCATCTCAGCAAGACCCCCAACGCTCCCCCAAGGTGCTCCCAAAACCGCTGACGGTCCTGTTCCAGGTGGCACCTCGTGCCCCAGCAGTGCCTGTTTCTCTCTGGGGACTGTGGATTCCCCAAGAGTCAAACAGAGATGTCCAAGATGGAGACGTCTACACTTGGGTGGGAGTTAGATCTGGCCTCATGGTTGGGTCTCTGGGAGTTTTGTTACCTTATTGTGTTATTTTGGGCCATCTGCCTAAATGTCACGAAGACACCAGTGTTCCCCGCCGTGAGGCAGGCTCAGCACTGCTTAACCAACCAAACACACCTTGCCCAGGGTGTAGCTCCTCGAAGAGGACCTCATCCTGGGTCCAAAGCAGCAGAGGCAGTCTGGGGCCGGCACTGGCACCACAGCCAGACTCTGCCTGCAGCAAGCGCCATTACGGACATGTAATCCACCCCGTGCAATAAAGAGAGGATTAGTGTGAAACAGTGGCAAATCCGCCAGCCCGGCTGTGTTAACAGGCTCTAATCCCGTACCCACACAGCCTTTATGTAGGCTACTGAATCCATAATCATCGTGTACTCGGCACGATAAAAGGAAATTTTCATCATGGCTCTGAGAAGCAGAATAAGCCAACGCTGCCCACAGGTTACAGACCAAAGCAATGCCAGCTGGGAGCTGTGGCCCAGGGAAGATGCAGGGTCTGGTTTTCAAAGCATGGCTCTCTGGTGGAAAATCAACTAAGGCATTTGCTGGATGCTTCGGTGTGCCGGCAGTACCACCCCCTTCAACCCCAAACCTTACCGAGCAGCGCACAGTGGCCTCCACTAGCCGTGCCGGAGGGTTTGTCAGGGCACCACAGTGTGCCAAGGACACACCGGGACCAATATAGAAGATGCATAGAGAGCTGAAACTTCACGCTGGGACCTTCTGCTGCAGAGTGGCTGGCCCGGAATCATTCCATTGCACGGTTTCGCTGCTCTTCTTTGGCAACATTCATGTCTTCGGCTTTTTCTTTTGATGCTCTTATCCGCCCGGCCAGCAGCAGGGCCTCTCCACTGCCTTATGTGCCAAAAATCACCCCCCTGGGAAGTTCCTGGCATCAGCTCTTCCCCCTTGGGGAGGTACCTCCAGACGGCTGCTGCAGTTTCTTCTTTCCTCTTCACTTGCCCAAACCACCAAAAACCACCGCAGTGGCATGGGGACCCTCGCAGGAGTCTGCAAAGCAGAAGAGCCAACACCACGAGAGCGGCTGGTCTCCACTTTTAGCACGCCTGGAGGCCTGATCCTGGCTCTGGTGTGCTCAGAGAGCTCTATCCTGCAAACGGCTCTCGCAATGGAGAGATTTCATGAGGCTCTCGCTGGCTTCTTCTTTTCTCGTCTGCCTGATGGAGCGAACTCCAGGCTGGAAGAGCATCTGTCCCCAACCACATGGCGGGCGGCTGCGGTGGCAGCAAGCAGCTGGCGTTGCCCATGGGCAGCTCCGACCCTGGGATCTGGAGGAAGCTGCTTCGGTTTGTACCTCGGTTTCAGCCTCACACAATGCCTTTGCAAACCGCTCTGCTGTACGAGAGGTGCTGCAGGAGCAGTGGTTACCATTAGCAGCTCATCTGGCGGTAGCACCCCTCTATCCCATTCATCTCCTGGTGCCATAACTTCTTGGCTAAATCCATGCAAGAGCAGTGCTGCCATTTCTGCGCCTTCTCCTTCAACAGATGCTGGAGGAAGGAGTCAGAGAAAAGCACCTTGGTGCATCAGCCCAGGCAAGAGGCGAACACAACCCTTGTGATACCAGGGGCAGAACTGCAGAAGGGATTAACCCAGCGATGCGTTGCTATTTGCCCTCCCCACGTCCCCATCCTGCCCCAAGGTGCCAACAACCACCAGGCACAGACACGTGGCAGCTGCCTGTGTGTTGCAGGCAGCTGCCAGAGGATCACACGAGGTATGGGCAGGGCTCACCTAATTACAGAGCTGTGTTTAACATCAGAGGTAATGCCTGGCTGGGCTGTCTCATGATTCAGCAGAGCTGCTGATTGACATCAGGCATTGCTGACAGTGCAATCCCTGTCTCTGGCATGCTAAGCCCACCGACATGCAGCCCCGCTGATCCAGCAGCTGCCCGGGCAGAAACGCTCGAAACTCTCCTCTGAAGCTGCAATAGAAAAGTTCTCGCTCTCAGCCAAAAAAACAGGAGAGCAGAGCTGTGAGAGGCATCCTCGGGTGCTGGTGACAGACATGTCCCCTGTCTTCTCACACAAGGCTTCCAAGGGGGGCCACAGGACAGAGTCTGAAGCCTCCTGGGGGTCAGATGAACACAATGAGGAGGAGGAGGAGCAGGAGCAGAAGAAGAGGTGAGAAGCCCCAAGGCACTGTGAGGATAAAGCAAGCTGTCTGCAGGAGCACCAGCCGAAAGCCCTGGCCAGCACGGAGGCCCCATGGACACACACAAGGTCTGAGCACCCACACATGTGATACTATCTGGCTGGGAGGAGGACTCAGCAACCATGGCAAATGATGATGAGAAAGGGAGCGGGAGGAAGGCACTGCCTGTCAGGACAGATCTGATGAGAGATACCCTCACACCTCTAAATTAAAAAAGCAAGAAAGGATGCTCCAAAGAAAGTCGCAGCATCTCCGAGCACAGGGGCCGAGCTCCGCATCTCCGCTCCCTGGACCCTCGCCCCACTCTGCCAGCCGTGCAGGCAGGGACAGACCCCAGGGTGACACCCGTCACCTTCCACCACCTCCCCCAGGCAACACCAAAGCACCCACCACTTACTTATTCATCAGTACAGCGCATCCACAGCAAAAACACCCAGGATACACAGACCTCTCGCCACAGCTTTCTCATCCGACGAGGATTAGGGTTGGGTTAAAGATTTAATCCCAAGGCCGGGGGTTTTCTGGGTTGGTGACATGGTTTTCGATGCGCTGATTAGTGCGCGTGTCATTAGCACGGAACAGATAATTAACACAGGCTGTGTTACAGCGCAGGCATGCGAAAACGGGCTCCTCCTGCGCGATCGCCATTGCAATAGTCCCAGGAAGAGAAACCCTGCCCTGCTGCAGAGTTTGCTCTGATTTTAGGCAGCAGAGCATCTGTTTGGGGCCACCGAGGGCAGCTGGGGGCAATCCCTGCTGCTAACGAAGCAAATCCAGGGGTTGAAGCCAGCACTTGCTTGCTGCAGTGCCTGAATTAACCCTGCGGTATAAGGATGCACAGGGTGGAGGGCTCCTCCAGCCCCACTGGCTGTACTGGGGTGAACTGGGAGCAGCCCAGCAGGCTGCTATTCCCTCCCTGCTCAGCATCTTTGCCCCAGCTGCCAGGAGCGCTGCGCAGGCAGAGAGGAGGTCGGGTCCGTCATCCTGCCTTGTGTCATGATGGGTTCAGGGACCCCGAGGGACGGCATCGCACACCCACCCGTGCCGGCAGCCAGCTCTGTGCCAGGACCCAGCCAGGTTCACACCGGCAGCATCACCCCGACCACGCAGTCACCCCGGCATCTGAGCCCCAGGGGGAGATGTCGGGGACTCTGTTTCCTACCAGCTTTAAGCAGTTCTGCAAGCAAACACAGACACATAAGGCGGTTAAGCTATCACTAAAATAAACCATTAGGAGTTATACACCGGACTGGAGGCTGCTCTAGTGAACCTGATGCCGCTCAGAGCACGCACTCAACATCAGTCTGGTTTAATATGGAAACAATTTTAGGAATACGGATTAATCACAGCAGCATGCCCACGGGGGCAGAGAAGTCTCAGCACTTCACAAAAACAACAGTGAAGCTGGGACACGGGAAGGCAGAGGAGTGGCTCTGGGGAAGCGCATCTTTTGCCCAGGCAGCTCACTTCAGCACCGGCACCCAGGAGGTCTCCAAATAAACTGATTGAGCAGCTGTAACCCCCCAGCTCCAGTGCTCAGACCCTCCACAAACCCACCCACGGTGCCCACCAGCGGATGCCTCCACCAGGCAGATGCCACTCAAAGTCCCCGAGCGTGGCCGCGGGGAGATGTCGGCTGCTCCTCGAGCCACCGGCACGTGGCACAGGGCCACGCTGAACTGCTGCTGAGCTGGAGCACGGCCCCGGAGGGCTCCGCAGAGAGAAATGCTGCCGGGATTGGAGGATGCAGCTTCTGGGATGCTGCTGGGCATCCCGGAGAAGCTTAAACAAACAGCCCATGGCCACCTTCCCGCAGGGAGGAGCAGCATATATTGGTATCAATCTCGCTTCTGGTTCAAGCACTGTTTCACATACTTAAAAACCCTCCCTCCAGGTTCAGAGAGTTGAAGGATGCTCTTTGCTGATGTCTTGTGTTGCCGGTGCTCCAGACAGGTCCGTTCCCATGGGAAAGGAAAACCCGGCTGGGGAAGTCAGTCTGCCTCAAAGCGGATGCCAGCATCCTCTGCATGATGGACTTGGGCGACCACCGGCACAGTGGCCTCTCATAAGGGCAGGTGTGGGGTCCTTTGGGTCCCTGGGTCCGCCTGCTCCACGCCAGCCCGTGCAGGGCTCCCTTCTCATGAAATCTTGCCCGCTCAGCATCTCCCACCCAGCTCTGCAGCCTTGCCCCGGCTGCCTCTCTCACCCCTCCATGCCCAGGCTGCGCCAGCCCAGCAGAGCCTTCCTCCACCTCCGCTCCTCGTAAATCTCGAGGCAAAATGCAAACTAAGCCAGGAGCCACATGGGGCCAGGGCTAAGCCCTGCTGCTCTCCATGCTCATGTCCCTTAAGGAAGCACAAAGCGAGCCAAAGGAAGAGCGCAGCTATTGCACACTTGCGTGCAGTTCGGCCGCCTCCGAGCTTTGCCATAGCAAACCCCATTCCCATTAAAAACCTATTTCTAGCACCACCCACATCCCTGTAAGCTCTTCCTGACGCCCAAACCAGCTTCCTCAGCGTGTCCACACGGCCCTCCTGCCTGCTGTCTGCTGCTAAATTATGAGACAGGAGCTTTCCCTGCTCCTTGGACGAGTCTCCGCAATTCAGCACAGTGCTCTTCATCTCTGCTCCTCTAATTATCCCTTTAGTTTGTTGCTTCTTATTTTTACGTACCTCCCACTCCTCCCCCACAGCAGATTGCAACTTGCTTTTCTGCGTCTCCTCCTCGTTGCTTCTCACAGCCCCGCTGACACGGGGCGTCTTGGTCCCAGCAAGGCTGAACTCTGCCACGAGTCTCACCCGGCTTGATGTTATGTGAGATTTCCGAGTTCGGATGGGAGCAGAGCAAACAGGTGGCTCGTAGAGGTCTGGGCTTAAATTTGAGCCTTGCAACAGTCAGTGCCTCTGTGTTTCAGATCCTCACCTGCAACGCAAAGGTCCAGCACATCCCGCTCTGCCTCTGCCCAAATCTTCCTCTGTCATCCCGAGCATCACTCACGCAGGGGTAGCCTGAGCCGCTTTCTCCTCCCGATCTCCAGAGAAGCACCCGGAGTCAGCCGAGGCAGGCACGCAGAGTGCGCAGCGAGGAGGTCACCTTCGCAGCAAGACTCTTTCATTTACATATGTATTTATTTATTTCTACTTGCTTGCTGCCGCTCCCTGCGGCTCCAGGGACATTTACATAATCGGATCACAGGCAGCTGGACAGACACCGCAAGCGCCGGCCCCGGAGCATCCATCCCTTCCCACTGCAGGCAGCAAAGCCCAGCTCTGCCCTGTCCCTTGCCCACTGCCAGGGCACGCTGGCCACACAGGTCCCAGCCAGGAGCGGGACTGAAGCGCAGAGCCCAGGGCTGCTCCCATGAGCCCGGTGCTGCTCGGGAAGAGGGCAGGGGCAGAGATGGCTCCTGGGGGTTTGTCGTAGCTGACAGCTTGCAAGTCCAAACCCCACTAAACTGCTTGGAGGTGCAAACAAAAAAGAAGCAAACGCAGCACCATCTTGGCAATGAACGAGTAGTGCTGCATGTCACTGTCCCCAGCCGGCCACGGCGTGGATGCGAGCCATGGCATCTCCTGCAAAAGCCAATCTCTGCTGCACGGGCAGAGGTGGTGCCCTGGGAGGCAGGATTTGACCACGCCGGGTGGGAGCAGATCAGGGAGGTTTGGTGCTGGGGCCGGGGCAGAGCACAGATGCGGAGCATCCACATGCCAGCACCAGCCCACCACTGCTGGCTGGGACCTCTCTGGGCAAAAGCCGGCAGGTGAGGGATGTTTAATTTCTCCTGCAAGGAACTACCAGCCCATCAAAAGCACCCTGTGCTTCCATGGGATGCGTGGCCCTGAGAAGCCCGCGGGGATCAAGGAGGGCAGGAGGAGGGTGTATTTTCACCTACTGCCAGGAGATGGCTTGAATCCATGTGCTTCCCTGTAGCGATATTTCATGTTTCAATACAGAAGATTTCGGGATCTTTGCCTTGCACAGAACCACCCCCCACCCCATGAGAGACTCCCTGGGCAGGGAGCTCACAGAAGGCATCACCCCACGCTAGAAAGATAAATCAAGGTGCAAAAAGGGATCCGTGCAGGAAAAGGTGACAGCGTAGCTGGGAGCACCAGCCCACCATGATGGGGTGGTCAAGGTGTCGATCCCCCTCCCTCTCGGCTCCCACGACCCTGCCCTGCTCCCCCTCCTCCTGCCTTTCTAATCCATCCCCACTAAAGCGTCACCGCTTTGTGGGGGTCAGCGTCCCCCCGCCCACAGCTCCGTCACCTCCCCCCGCAACTACGGGCTCATCAGCAAGCTGGGAGAGCCACAGCTACTACCCCATCCTGCTTCTTCCACGTTACAGCCTTTCCCCTTCGGACGTCTCCTCGAGATGCTCAGCCATGAGCTGAAGTACAAAAGGATGCTGTTAAAAACAGATCTCTGATCCACCCGAAAACACGTGCCTTGCTCCCTCCCTGGCCCCTCTTACCTGCTCAGTGTTTTGGACAAACCACGTTTCTACTGTTTTTTCCCTGCACAACAGTTTGTGCTATTTCCCACCGTCCAGACAGCCTCACCCAAGCTTTTATCCCATCACAACCACCACAACCTCCTCCTCTCTAGGCTGGACACTGCAAATCTTGCTCTGCTCATCCCTTCCCAAAAGACTGGAAAAATCCTCTCTCCAGCAATTCCCTGCTGACATCCCGTTGTCGGTCCGCCTCGTAACAGCAAACCCCCGCTGCTCCCAGCAGCGCCGAGGGTTCTGCCGTCACCTTGCACCGCTCGCAACACGCTGCCATCCCAGCTCCAAAAATTTCGACAAACTCTCCACGGGGAGAGCACTGCACAGGCACCCCCAAAGCTGCTCCAAAATGCAAGACGCCATCTCAGGAAGCCCTTTCCCCCCATGGCTACAAAATCCTGTGAGTGGGGACAAGGAGGATGCTGTGACTGCGGGGCTCCTGCGTCCCCTCCAGCTCCCGCTGTGGATTATTATTATTTTTTAAAAGCCCACATAAACCAACACACGAGCTCCTTTTGCTCAGGGCTGGGACAGCACGGCAACAACACTGCTCCATTCACAACTCCCCAAGCTCTGCCTTCATATACTATTCCAGGTCTCTTAGGCTTTTAGGTTGTTTTGTTGGGTTTTTTTGCTTTAAATATTTTATTTAGTTTTACTCTCTCTTCCCCTCCCCAAACCTCCCCAGGGAAAATCAGGCTCCCCAGGAAGGGCTGTCTCACTGCGAGGGAGGCAGATCCACACCCCAAACAGAAGCTGTCCAAAAAATAATCAGAAAGCACCGTCACGCTGCACAAGGCAGGGAGCAGCGCCGGTGCTGGCACACGCTTCACAACCTCCAACCAACCGGTCTGGGAGAGCACAGCTGGCACAAGACAGCTCTCGGACCCCGAGGGGGTTAAATCCCCCGGTCGTGTAAAACAAGGGCAGCTTCATGGAAGTCAATGAGAACGCGAGGGACATGGGGATGTTGGTCTGAATCTGAGGCGAGCAACGGGCTCTGAACTGCCATGCCAGCCCCAGGAATGGCTGAAAACCCCTTTGCACCCCAAGCCTCCGCTTTACCTGGCTTTACATCCAAAATATCCTATTTTGGAGCAGCCTCCCCAGAAAGCATGCTGTAAGGATGCAGCAGACCTGTGTCTCAGGGGGTTACACACACCCGTGCCCGTGCCCCAGGCTGCACCTTCCCAACTCCCATTCCCTTGCCATGGCGCTGAGCCGGCACCACGAGCTCCCGGCCGTGTCCAAGCCCCGCGCCAATGCACAGCTCTTGCAGAAAGCCGGTGCACGGGGAGAAAACGGGGCCGTGCTGAAGGGAAGAAGGATGACGGAGGAAGAGGAGGAGGAAAACGCTTCTCCCTCTGCCTCCTCGCAAACACGGCGGCTCAGCTGGCAGCACTTACGTTGATCATAGCATTGGAGGTGATGCGGAAGAGTGTGGCTCGTTCAT